CCCGGTTATGATAATTAACATGACCAATTAATTGATATAAGAATTATCATACATGATATTTTTTGAATTTAACTAAGACAGTCCATCCATGATAAACCCAACCAAATTAATGGGCTCATGGGTTCAGATCGATATATAACACTTGGTTTTGAAGATTAGTTTCTGAATGCAGTAACACATGCATCTGGGAAATTCATAATATGGTATTGGGGTAACAGATTCACGTACTATGATGAACCTACAGAAAATTCACCACCATCACCATCATTCCAATTAGGTTCACATATGTGGAGCATGACAATTTGATAAGGATCCAGAATATCAGGATGAGGTTATTATGTGAGATGAATTACTGTAATTTCACCAAAACTATCAAAGTAGTCATCATCCTGTTGGATACTAAGATCACAAATAACTCATTTACCCCCACATCTCTCCTATTAACTTTGTAAACCAAATCACTGTCGTCCTCTTGCAAAACCCCGTCCATGGCTTCTCACCCAACCACGTAGGATGACCCACAGTTGGTGATGAAGGTGTATATATATATAAATCTATAGAGATTAATGGTAAACAATATTCTGCCAATGTGGATTTCCACAATCTTTGGTTTTGATCATCATCAATTATAAGAACCCAATCACAACAAACATACTGGCTGATGATGGCAATGAGCTGGTACCCCTGTTTCAACGCAAACTGCCGAGGAATCCACAGCTTTGCGCCGTGCAAGCCAAGCCGAAACAGGCAGCACCGTGGATGGTTTCCAGACGATGCTTTTTAATTTCACAGCCAAAACATAACAATGTTTTGGGGGTATCATACCCATGCACTGGTTTTCAAATTTCTTTTGGAATGATCTCTTTCCAACCTTCAGGGACTCGTAGGAGCTTACTTCCCCGGGCGTACTGGAGAACCTTCCGTAAATCAGCCTCTTGTTCCCATGCAATAGATTGCTGATCCCACTTCATCTTCTCGAAAAGGTTGAAGATAGAATCCGAAGATACCTGTACATACCGATTAACAGGCTGGACCACTATGAAACCAATCAGCCAAATGCAGTTATGAACTTTGGAATCATGTACCATGCACATGACTTCGGCATCAGTTGGTCTACAAGTGTGTTTCGGTGTTACATATTTATCATGTGCATGCATGCATGCACATATGTTATTCGCACATGTATTATATATATAGTATGTGCATACAAGTATGAAGCTACAATATAAGTAACACGATTGGTCTACCCAATGCCCCATAACCAACCGTGTTATTCATGATTCTGATCACACCACATACATATATATATATATATTATATCATTTGTAAGTATATTCAACCTTGGGCATGCTGGCCTCAATTGGCAGGTGAACCTTCTGCTTCCGGACTTCCCCAACCAGTCTGATAAGTTTCCCGGCGAACTTGTAGGTGTATTGCCTGGAAGACAGCTGGTACAGTTGACCCTAAGTTAAAAAAGGACATGGGCATCCAACTTAAAACCCAAGGGGGAGTCATGTCATGATATGCAATCGAGGTACTGGCTACGCTTGAGATTTGTATTGCCCTTGAATCTGGTCTTACCCTTTGCATCCTTATATCGAGTAGTTGTTGGACGGGATGTAAATCGCTCCTGTTCTGTCAAAGGTCCCAAGTCGAGCGCACGGATCAGTGGAGTGCTGCTCCAAACCCATGTTCTTTTCCAGGAAAGTGAGGAATATTTTCGCATCCAGAATGCAATCTTGTAAGTCTCAGATGTTGGTTGAAAATTGAAAAGACTGCCTACCAAATAAATTGCATGCCTATGCTATCCTGTATATATACATCTTATACGTATAGCAAAGTTACCGGATGAGTTCCCCCATCTACCGATACAGCCCATGAACCAAACATTCATGGACTCCTCATTTTGGGTGGTGAATTTGGGATTATTTTTGAACATTCGCCATGCTTGATGCAAGGAACAAAAACATCGATCTTACGGAGCTGGCCCAGCATCCATATGTATCTTGGATGCAACGCCACCAGCGAGTTCTGCGGGTTCTCCATGAAGTAGGTGCCACCCATGAGCACAGTGATCCAAATTAGGATAACTGTCCTGCAGCAGGACTGTGTTGTTTTTTCCAGAAGTGATTTCTACATCCATGGTCCACTTCCGAAATTCAGAATTGCCAAGTCTAACAATCAACAACGTTCTAGGGCACAAGAAATATGATATCTGTTTTTTTGGCAGGGTAAGGTATATCCCATCGGAATCAGGCAGCAAACCTATGACAGGAAGAACCACAGATTTCGAATATGCAAGGTCAGCGCGTCATATGACAGAATGGGATCATAAAATCCACTGTATTTGGGTAACCACATATGGAGGAAAAGAACAGTTGACCCTTCCAATAGTGGAATGTTTGACCCATCCATTGAAGCATTCAAAAATGATTTACGAAATACATTTTATAAGACGTTGTTTTATAGTTCACATGTTTTGATAAGAGGTGCAAACCTGATATGAACCCGAGTAACCCACACAGCAGTCCATTTTGTATATATATATATATATATACAGATCAGATTCAAACTCCAACTATACATGTATGACCATGAACCGTATCATCCAAAAGGAAAGCTCATAAATATATTGTGAATCTGAATCAGTAAAGATCAATATACTAGTATACTGGTCATCAGGGATTGGATATGTACTTGACCACCTACTTGCACAGATCCTACTGAAACCCCAACCACTGAAACCATCCTGGAAGTCATTTTGTTGGATGCCCGTACATTGGGATAGTCTTCACATCCAAGAGGAGTCATGATGCTCCGGCCAGTGCTGCCACGGTTGACAGGGACCCACGAGCTGCACACTATTGCATAGAATGCACATATCTGTTCCCATTCTCCAAATAGCAGGATGTGAATGGCCAGTCTTGGTTCCGGGGCCACGGAAAACAATACCATACAGGGTGGTTCCACCTTGGGTACTCCTTGGTTTGAAGACATGTCCAAACAGTAGGTATATACAAAACACTAAGAATGTTTTGCTTTAATGGATATATATATATATATATTATATATATATAAATCCATCAAATTCTGATCTTCTTTATTTATACAGTATATACATGCATGCATACATGCAGTATAGCTATTATCTGTGAGATGTTTTTCATATCCATTAAGTATGTGATTTGTACCGTTGAATTCCAAAACTTTGTGCATAAACCTTGAATGGGTCGCATCATGAACCATTCCCACCGAATAGAATGAACAGTAACCAAGGGACATGAGCCCTGCATTCGAGTTGATATCCATGGGGCTTCGCTTCGTGTTCTTCTTAGCATAGTCCATCCCATAGTCTTTATCAACAGCTGCTGCTACAAAACCCACCTTTGCGGCTAGTTCAGCTATCCTCCCAACACCACTGTAGAATTCCACCACCTGATATTCCGACTGTTGGCACCGAGGAATCTCCAGCCACCAGACCAGGAGTATAAGAAGGACAACTACCTGAGCCATGGCAATACCGATCATGATGGGGTGAATGGGCCAGTGAGGGGTCATATAATTGGCCCAATCAATCTTGTTATATAACATGGAACCTAGAACTGTACCACTGATAAACCCAATCACCATGGATAGATTCCCAGAGACATGAGTTGTATGACACTGATATGCAGCAGGGATGCCTTCGGTGTGTCCATAGCAATCATTCGCTTCACCAGCAAATCAAATTGGGATGCATTCATGGCAGAAATAGCCAATAGATAAAGCAATTATGTGACCATGATGTTTCTCATGAGACCACTTGGGACATGTTTTTTTTGATGATCTATCTGTACTTCTGCATTGGCTCGGGGTTTATAATTGCCATGGATGATTATGGAAACATGGCAGATAGAACCAGAACAGCTATGCGGGAGAGGGAGACAGCATGACATATGCAGAACAGATATGCTGAACTGGGGTTTTACCTAGCCAATTCCTGGGTTGAAACATTGTTCATCTGAGATGCCACTTCGAATGCCAGCAAATCAAAATCATGATTGTAGTGATGACATTTCTCCGGCATCTCTCGCAACTTCGTCATTAGCCATACCACTGTGGATAGCAGAGGAAATGGTTGCATTAATTTATCTAAAACTAGAACAGCTTATGATTCAATATGCATGTTTTCTTCAGTGCAATTGCACGGCCAATCATTTTGGAATTGTATAGGTAAAACATATATATGTTGTTTGTTTAAAATCTATCATCATCACCAAAAGCATGCAATCAATCTGCATATTGACATCAGAATGGATCTATATATTTCATGATTTTACAAACATCAAAAACGAAAGATTTCAACGATCACAATGTGTTGACCATATATGGAATCCAAATACAATTTGCACGCTACATGGTTTCACATGTCATTAGTGTGAGGCAAACACCCATGCAGGCACACCCCATTCAACACAAGTCGGCCAAACTCGGCTGGGGCTGCACCACGCCGAACTTTGCCAGATTTGTCATCTGGCGCCGAGGCATCGAGATCCAACCACCTGGCTCAGCGTGACCCAGCGAAGGACTGGAACTGGGATCCCTAAGACTTCACGACTTCAAGTTTGAAATCCTAGTTTGTTTGTAATTCTGAAATGCGTCAATGTGCACAGATTAAATCAACCAATACTTCAGGGCACATGTGGATGCACATCCAAAGGCGATGTTTCCCCTGACTGCACCAAGCTGCAATGCTCTGAAAGATGAATTTGGTAAAGTGTCAAAACAACACTTTCCACCGGACAGAACAAATCTAATGAGTAAGCGCAACTCAACTCATGCGTTGCTTCAAAGACGCAGCGCTCGAGAAGCATGTAATGTGAACAGCTAGCTGAGCTATCCACCAAAACCCCGCTATGTTGAAAAGTTCAATTCAACCTAGCTACCCAAAAAGATCTATCTCTCCAAACCAGATATGTTCCGTTAATTGCAACATCCTGAGGCCGGTGCACAACCGGCAGTCAGTCTTCATCCATGCAAAGGCCGTTCTCCTGGATGAAGTTGCCAGCTTCCACACGGGCAGCAGCAACGAAGGCATCATGAAACTGATTGCTGCGAGTGACCTCATTGTCCTCAGTCTCCATGTCTCGAGTGACCTGCTGGACCTTGTCGTGTTCATGCAAATTCTCCATGCACCAGGTCCACCAATGCACCTGCAAATACAAGCTAAAGAACAAACAGATGGGAACAACAACAATTCAGAAACTAAGGAACTACCTTTGCAAACTCCAGAGAACAAAATATAAAGATATCAACAATACTTTTCAAGAACCTGCTTGACCCACCCCCACCCTGACTCCATTTTTTTTGACCCTGGCCTCATAGAGCCCCTTGCGAAAGCCAAGCTCAAGCAGGCAAGGCGCAATCTTCTCCTCAAAGACAGCTTTGGCAGCCCTCCAACGCTCCCTCGCGGGACAAGTCTTAGGACACGTCCTTCGAGCAAAGGAAATGCCAGCGGCCCCCTGACCTGCCTTTGCTCGCTTGCGTGGCACCTTGGCATTCTCACCTCCAGGACCAGGTTCAGAAGGTTCAGCAGGCTCACCCGCCCCACCAGTAGAAGGTTCAGGCTCAGTGGGAGGCTGCGGCAAATCCTGCCAATGAAAACCAATGAGAACCCCGTGGGAAACCCTTTGTATCTTAATTGTAACTTTCTGGAAACATTGAAGGGCCAATATACTGAAAACAAAATACATTGTATATGCACATGTCCATATATACAACGTTTACCTATAAAATGTTAAAACAGTTGGTGCATATGATATGTAAAATTTATTCAAAATATTCCTATATAGGTATAATGGTGACGTGCATATATAAGGTGTATATATACATGAGTGTGTGTGGCAGGTACAGTTAAAAAAATCAACAAGTTCAACAAAAAATCTCTCCTGATTGACATTGTCCCCTGAAGCTTGGATCTCAGACGATTCCTCTGCAGTGGAAGATCTTTTCCTGCTGGAGGATGACTTTGCCTTTGCCTTTGGTTTTGACTTTGCCTTGGGCTGTCGACGAGGCTTCTTCCCCACATCCTCATCCACAGTTGGAACTGCAGCTGCTGCAGCCTTGCTTTCCACATCTCCTTCATCAGCTTCATCAGCGCTAGACTCCACCATGATTTCACCAGTGCAAGCCTTACCACGGCCACGGCGGCCACCACGTCCTTTTCCCCGCCCTCGACCTCTCCCTGCAGGCTTCAGTTTCCACTGTTCAGTTCTGAGAACCACTGGAGGCTCATCATCAATCTCCATTTTCTCAACGGTGCCATTTTGATGTGGGCCTTCAGGTCGTGGTCCTTCAGGTTCAGGTGGGCAATCAGGTCGTGGGCCTTCAGGTTGTGGTCCTTCAGGTTCTCGGCCTTCAGGATCAGGTGGGCAATCAGGTCGTGGGCCTTCAGGTCGTTGACCTTCAGGATCAGATCGCGGGGGCTCAGGAGCACCTGTCTTGGCCATTGTGAAAATGTCAACCATGCGCTGCTGGATTAGGACATCCCAGTTCTTGGGCACAATGAGCATCGGTGATCTCTTCTGGGATGTTGTGCTGGGTGGGTCATCCTGCTGATTGCCTGGGTCAGCCGCAAGAGGTTTTTGTAAAGGATCAGGCGTAGCAAGTTCCACAGCTTCACCTTCAACAGCTCCAGCAGCTGTCTTTGACGGAGTTTCACCTGTAGGGGTGATGTATATATATATATGTAAAAACATCCATATAGATAAATTTCTTGTATAGATGGATTTAGATCTAGGTATGCAGATACAGATATATTTCGATGAATGATTGAGGATCTTTCTATAGATCTATACAACAGATAAGTACATCTGATATAAACATTAAAAACAAAACATATATCAATATAGGGATAGACTGAAATGTATGGAGATTATATAAATTAAGATATATAAATTATAGATTTAGAGATATCAAAATTATATATAATATATGATGAATGGCATCAAGATATATAGATCGATGGAAAGATAAATAACTTATCCACCTTTCTTGGCCAACCATAGATGCTATCAGAAACAGAAATTGAGCATATCAGTATTCAAACAAAATCAAACAAAGTATGCAAAACATGTTCATGTGAATTCACAAAACAACATTTTTTGTTAAGGTCATCCCCGGCCTCGCTTTGCATTGGAAAAGTCTCCAGCAAGACAGCGACAAATCCCACTGGGCGTACCGATCGAATCCTGAGAGTCACTGCTTGAGACAGCATCCGGTGAACTTCCTGTCATCAAGGCTGCTGCCACTGGAACTGGATCAAATGGAAGAGTGTCCGCAACATCTGAAGCAGGCTGCTGCTCCATCTGTTTCTTCTGGGCAAGGAGTTGCCTCAAACAAACGGGAGTTGGGAAAACTACCTAGTAAACAGGACAAAGAAACCTTTCCCCTACCAAACCCAGCAACCAAGCTTTTGAATTCCAAAACGAAAACTAACACAAAACCATTTGAAGTTTAACCCATTTAAAGCCCAGGCACTTGAGGTACAAGATCTTTTGCTCCACATCCTTTATGGTCATGACACCCTGCGTGTCCGTGAAGGTCTTGTTCTCCCGTGTAGGTGCCGCAGGTGGTGGTACTCCAGGTTGATCAGCAGGGGTTGCCATAGAACTTGAAGCAGTCACAGGTCCACCCATGTCAGGATCAGGAACAGGTTCTTTGGGATTCACAGTCACAGGCTCCTCCACCGCGGGGTAGGGATCTTCACCAGGGTACTCAGGACTGAGGCGAATCTCATCAGCAGCTTCTTCATCCATGGCATCACTGATGGCATCATTCAGGATAGCCATAGTGGATGTTGCATAGTCCCTGATCTCATCAGAGAGAGCAGCCGCCTCTGCGCAGTCCTGATCAGAGTCCTCGAAGATGGTGGTATAAGGGTCACTTTTGTCCCTGACCTCCATGATGACACTCAAATCACCAGACTCATCCCCTGAATCAGCCAAGTCCACCACTTCAACACCAGACGTAGAGGACGCAGACGACGTAGACGTAGCAGCAGGTGTGGTTGAAAGCGCCTTGCGAGGCTTCTTCAGGGTCCAGTACTTGAAGATCTCCACATAGAAGTCATTGACGCCAATCTCCTGCCCACGGGGCAGCAAAGCATTTTGATTTGGGAACAGTAAGGAGCTTCCATGAAAATTGAAAATAAACAGCTTGTATATCCACGAGGATGGGATTAGTCTTAGACAGGACAAACTGACAACTACTTGGAACACTCTCTTGAGTTGAGATTCTCTCCGCTTGGGGCTCTTGGACAGAGATTTGTCAAATCCAGCTCGGCGGCATCCATAAGCAAACAACTTCTTCACACCCCACGCATCACATTGAAGCTGAGAAAGGTCTTGGGGAATTGCACATAAGCGACGCAATGCTGCAACCTGGATGGGGCAGTGGGTTAATCATACAATTCCTTAATTTGTATTGTATTTTGTTTTTTGATTTTGTTTCTAGTGTGGTGTGCGTTGAATATATGCAATATAGAATGTGTATATATGTGCAGTACCATGTGCAAAATATGTGTTACTACTTTAAAAGTTACTGCATTGATCTTCCTCCAGGTTCCTTTTTGTGACCTCTTTGACAGAAATAACCTTTGTAAATTTAGATGCTATTCTTCACATATGTTCAATATAAGCGGCATGTCATGCAAATGATTCAAAACCATTGTTAAAAGTTTTGTTCGGCTATTGGGCTTTCAATGGGTAACCTTTTTCTCAACCCCACCTGTGCTTTCACAACTGTGATCGATGGAGTCTTAGGGGTGGTCTGCGTTGGACACCACCAAGCTGCCATGATCGTCAGGACATTGCAATTCATGGACAACGCCTGCATCGATGTTTGGCCAATGAGCTCAGCATTAGCTTTGCCTTTTGGCCAGACCAGCAGCTTGCCAGCACCGAAGCGCATACGTTCCCTCACATTGAAATCCCCTTCCCAAGCTCTAGCTAAGCCATCATCATGAGCATGGGTTTTGGAATCACTGGGAGGAGGCGACGACATTGCAGCAGCAACTAGATTCAATTCAGCACGGACTTGTTGCATGTATTTACATGCACTCATATACTAGTTTAATAGTTTATTCCCAAAATCACTTTGATTTTTTCCCTGGGCCAGTGTTCATTGACACAGTGATATTTCTGAATTGCCGGAATTTTCTCATGGAAGTCAGAAGCACTGAGAGACAGATCATCTGGAGCCAAATGGTGAACCCATCCAATCATGGTGATCAAACCTTTATTACGAGGTGACCTTGAGCAGCTGCATTGCTGAAACTTGCCAGGGGTACTAGCGCCAGGTGCTGAAAGTGGCACCAAGGGTCCTCAAGGGATGGAAGAACCCCCATGAAATTGTTTGATGCTTGAATACTTCGCCCCTAAAGCTAATTTTTTTTGCACCATTGCATATCCAACCAATATATGTATGAAGTATCATGAAGCTATATAGTTAAAACAGTTTTGTGTGCGGTGAAAACATTGAGAACCCTGTTGAACTTGAACAGTTTTTGCCCCAGCCTTGGAAGTGCCAAAGGGCCAACGAATGCAGAAGCAGTTGCGCCCCCAAAGGACAAAGAGAGCGCACACAGCCGCAGGTGGCCATGGATGGGGGAAGCACCAAACCCAACTTGGTCAACATCAGTGAGATGAACTCCCTTTTTCTGCATGAATGTCCAGCAAATGGGCATACCATGATCCAAATCTATTGAAAGGTTCAACTGAAATCTTTACTTGTGGGATCTTGTGGAAAAACTGCCCACATGTCAAGTGAGCCAGGGCACCTGTCAGCAGTGTTGTGATGGACCCCGGTTTGCTGGTCACACACATGCCAAATGCTTGAAAACCATGAAACGCCGCTAATATTCAACAGATGTGAAGAATAACCTCTAAATTTACAAAGGCAATTTCTGCCAAAGAGGTCCAAAAAAGGAACCTGGAGGAAGATCTAGGTATATATATATATATCATATATATATATATATCATCATATCATCATATAATACGTAGTATATATATATATATACATACTACACATCTATACCCAAGAAATCTAAAGACTATTTAAACAATAGTTTCCCCATGTAAGACGATTCTTTGGCACTTGTCACGCGCATCACCTTCGTCACGCTTGTCACGCGTGTCACCTGCATTTCCCACGGCCATATAATAGTTACATATATAATTATTAGTTGTAACATTTTTTAACAGACATTCTGCCCCCCGTGCTGCAACGTGCGGTGAAACTCACTTTGAAGGACTTTTTCAGCCTTAAAGGCAGTGGCTCTTGTGTCAGTAGCGATTCAGGACATGAAAACCACGTGAGTCGCCACTACGATTGTTGTTTGTCCAGTGTCTTCTTTCTAGAGAATCCTGTAACTTCAGGCTGCCTTTTGGAAAATAGTGGAATGTTTGGGTCACAAATGGCCTTGTTGGTGCCCAGACATCTAGTTTGGTTGTTCTGCCAAAATACAATAATACTTATTCTCCAAGGAGAAAATACGCTGGAACCACGCCAGAACCACGCTATAAAATAGTCGTTCCACGCGGAACCACGCGCAATTTGTAAAACATGTTGCTATGGCATGCTATGGTTGCATTTCTCCACCGTTTCAGCCAAAAGGCGACTGCATAAATTTGGCTTACATCACCTTTTGTCTAGCAACACAAAGTGGAATAGGGTAGGGGGCATGACAAGTGCATATCAACCTGCCGTAGCGTAGCAGCAGGGATGGTTAGACCAATTGATTTGACACTATCCATCATCTAAGATATAAATTTGACGCCAATAGACCTACAAATGATTTTATCTATGCAGGTGGTTTGACCATAACAACGTGACAACGTTCTAAAAAAGTATTTGCCTGTGGAAATTGCCCAGTTTTAGCTTTCAACACTAAATTGCAATGCAACCCATGTCAAAAGTATAGCACAGTTAAACTGCCCAGGAGCCTCATTTAAAATTTCAGTATTAGCCAGAAATAGTCTTTGCCAAAGACCATGTTAAAAAAGTCTTCGACCGTCAGGGTATTCCTATGATTTAGCCGTTTCCAGGTCTGTTGTCCGAGTCCGAGTCCACCGACACCTTGGACGGTGCGAGTGGTACGCCCAAGGCTGCGAAGGCGTGGTGGGTTGCGGATGGCTCCCAGACACTTCAGAAATATTTGTAGTTTCTGTATAATATGTATGATATATATATATACTTCATGGATTCAAACACTTCCTGAGAAGGTGCTTAACCCCCAAAATCATAGCGCAAATACTTCCTAAGGTACTTGGATCCATAGGGATATATAGTAAATACTGCAAATAATATGTGAATATATATATATACAATAAATTTGAATGTTTTATTGGTAATTTCCCTTTGGAGAATGAGTTATTTCATCATCCCAGTTAGTAAATACTGGAATTACATCATAAACAATAAATATATTGGAATAGAAATAAATAACTGAATGTCATCCTGATATATTCCTTAAATTTACCCTCTGGTAATTGGTTACATTACTATTGAAAATCACCATTTCGGGTAAATCCACTATTTCCATGGCCATTTTCAATAGTTATGGTAGTTTACCAGGGGGTAATACATCGATACACCTATTGGATCATCGTGGCAGTTGCTCACCTGGCAGTTGCACGCCGTTACCGGCTGGATCGAGCTGCCTGAAGCCGAGAGAAGCTTTGGAGGATCTGCCGTTTGAATGGGGTAGATGTGATATAAACATATACATATATGGATACCCATATGTATACATAGATGTGCAAGAGTGTAAGCCTACAATGTCCCCCCAGTTATAAGTTTGTTTATAAAGCCCATTAACCATGGTTGTATATACCAAATGCCATCATATACCATAGTTATTGGAGTCATGAACCAACTGAGCGATATAATGTGTATGTAACTATATATACATATATACACATGCATGCACATATGTGCACATGCATTTGTATTATCTACTGTACTGTACATATGTATACGTATATATATATATATACATCCTGTATGTGTTCCATACATCGCCTAATCAGTGAACTTGCTTGATGGTTTCAGATATGTTTTTCCATATCCATCCCGACTTGGGATAATGATGCCACATAGCCCATTAGTTTCAAGGCTTAGATGTAATGTGGCACAGCAGTTGCATGTGAAACACTGTAAGAATGGCTGGATAACAATAGATAGCAGCTGCAGTTGATAGCTGTTCACAGAGTGTATTGCTCCCTTTGCCTGTTACAACCGCAAATCAAAGAACGGGAACCACGTTCAGTACAAGGTTCCACGTTTGTCACCGGCACCCATTGATATCGCGGATCAGCCCCAAGTAGTCCACCCCTTCGCAACCATTTGCTTGTTGATGGATGATTCTATGGTGTTTGTACCATAGCCCATATATATAATATAATATAATATATATATATATACACACACTTATAATTGGGGATGATCACAAACCATGAAATATATGAAATGGGAAATCCTATGGCTTTTGAGCACTCTCCTAAATCTTGCAGCATAGAGGATGGAACAGCATCCCAAATTGAAATTCTACTTGGATGTTCCGTGACCTAAGCTACCAGTAGTTGTCTCACTTATCTCTGGTTCCTCAGACCCCAATCTTCACAACATCCCAACAGCCGAAGCCATGGGGATTGCCATGCCCTGAGGCCTCCGGTGCATGATGACATCAAACGCAAGCTTGAGGTGGTGCTGGGGTCTGCAGGGAGTTGGCACAAAATGGAGTGACAATGGGCCTTCAAAATTGAGTAGCTTTATATATAAGTAGTAGTCATAAACCATCCAATTTCATGCGACGTGGAGGAGTAGTTAAATCAGGGTGGTCAAACGTCTCATTTGAACATCACCCAAGAAATGGACAGATCAAGTTGAATAACCATTGCAAGGTGCTGTTTCACCAAACTTGAGACATCCGTTAGCCCCTGTGAGATGGATGTGCTATTCTCAGTTTGGGAAAGCCACACCAGCAGTCTTCATGGGAAACCTAGATGGGCCTGTTTTAGGCAATGCTAGTGTTGACAATTTATGACAATTTGGGATGATCCTTGACTGAAGATGTTGCATCTTCAAGTGCGAATGAGTTGTGGCTTGATATTCTTGGGTGTTCCCCTTGGGTTGCGACTCAGCGGGGTGAACTGCTGCCCTGCTCAGGAAGTTTTGCAGAAGAGGGGTGGGAATGGCTGGTTGGATCTGATCCCCAGTAGAGCTGCATGCATCATCAGCATTTTGTGGTGATAATGCCATATTCCATCATATTTCCATATATTTCCAGGTTGCTTTCCGTTTGAAAACATGAAACTCGCATAAACTCGCCAGTTGTGTTGGTTAAACTATGTTAAACTGATATTTCTTGGTGGTTGAATCATGTTCAATCCTTAGTTGTCTTGGTGAAGTCACCATTTTGTGGATGCAGATGGAGCCAGTGGAGCCTGAAGATCCCGCCGAGCTTTTGGTCTCTGGGTGCGCCGGGAGAGATGAAAGCCAAAAGCCCAAGGGACCTGTGTTTTTTGGAGGATCAACGGAGATGGAAGCATCAAAAACGGTGATTTAAGCATATTTAAGTATCTATAATAGGTATTATTCACAATTTAACCAATGATTTTAATAATGATTAATGGATTTGGGATGATTTGGGTGTGTCTGAACATGGGGCCATACCCACAATTTCGGCCAAATTATATGATAGGAATGCTGAGGTGTTCAGCCAGTCACTGGACCGGGGTACCTACCCTATTTTCAATCTTGCCGAGAGTTGCCAAATTTATCCAAATTTGATATGTATCTACCAGTTTTGAGGACGTCGCTTTGGGGGATTGCATAGGTGTGATGTTGCCTTGTTGCCAGATAGGTCGCAGTAATCGACAGGTGGCCACCCGAGCTTACGGTCAGTGAGAAAGCTGACACAGTCCACTAGTAAGCTGTTGCAGGAAGCGTTGAGTACAGTCAAGGCGTTTCCTGAAGGGTTTCTTATTATCATACCAACA